CCCATCTACTGGTTCACTCCCCAAATGGCCGCAGTGGTCAGAGTTGAGCCAATCCAATCCAAAGCCAGGAGCCAGGAGCTTCTTCTGGGTCTCCCACCCAAGTGGAGAGTCCCAAGGCTTTGGCCAGTCCTTTGCTGCCTTCCAAGGCCAGAATCAGGAAGCTGGATGGGAAGTGGGACAGCCAGGACACAAACCAGCACACATATGGGATCCCAGTGTGTACAAGGTGAGGATCCAACCATTGAGTCATCACTCTGGGCCCTCAACCACCATCTTACACATTCATAGCCCACTCTAGTGGGTACTGATTTTGATCACAAATCCAGTGCCATAAACAAAAGTGGGTTTAAATACAGTGAAGATTTATTTCTATACTACCAGGCCCAAAGAGGTGATTTTTGGTAAATGAACATTCATTGTAGCAAGCAATTGACCAAAACATTCTGTATACAACTTGCCTTAACTAAGTGAAGTGCTGGAGTGATGTTTCTCACTTTGGAAGCTTATCAAGGTGCAGGTTCCCAAGGTTCAAAACCCCTGGAGTCTGAACTGTGTAACAGAACTGTTACCTGGCTGATGAGGTAGCCAGGGGAGGTGCCCGGCAGAACTTTTGTAACACACAGATATGTGTGTTTCACTCTTTGTAGTGAGATTCTGCAACATGGGCTGAGTGAGGCCTTGTAGTTAAGCGTTTTGGAGAAAAGGAGTAATTCACTACCAAGTACTTCAACAAAACCCATATAGACTTGAAAGCCCTGCATTTAAAGAAAAAAACCTGCCCTGTATTCTACCACCAACTAGATACTATCCAGCCCCAAGCTACCAGCTGCTGCTTGCAGTGGTATATTGGAAATCTCAATGGGAAGGAATTGGGTGCCAATGTCTGCACTGCAGTGTGGGCTAACCAATGGAAGTCACATGATCTTTTCATTGGTCATTGAAGGATAATTATTTTTTTAGGACCACTGTTTCTAGATACAAATAAACAGTTTACCATCGAGTTATACAAAGCCCAACCCAGAATACACAGTGCTGACAAGATAAATTTTTTTTTGGCAACCAAATACCATTGACTCTTAAGGGAGACCCAGATGGAGCTCCTGGCTCCTGACTTCAGACTGGCCTACTCCTGGGCTATTGTGGCAATTTGGAAAATGAACCAGCAGATAGATCTCTTTCTCTCTACCTTTAAAAAATATTTTTAAAAGGCTATCATGAAACTAATAATGTTTAGTATTAAAGCACATGATGAAGGGTAAGGAGGGGTGAAACTGGATGGTGGTTCTTTTGGAAAGCAAGATGATGATATGAGGAAGATTTTCAAGAATGTATAGCTTTTTATGTAAAAATGAAAAAAAAAATAAGGTCAGCAAGTAAAACAGTTAACAATGATTACATCTGGATACTGATTATATGCCAAGATTCCAGGTTGCAAATGACAAAATCTACACTGGCTAGCTAGGTGGGGCGGGGGGGTCGGGGGAAGACGGCTCCAAGTCTTGAGAGGTTAGGTTACAGGGCTCTGAAAAATGTCCATTATCACAGCCCACACAAACGCAGGGGAAAGCCTGCTGAGCACAGCCCCTACATCCTGCACCACAGCACAGGACCTCTGCACTGCTGCGGATTGTCACTGTGCCCCTGTACGACACATACCTCAAGCACCACTGTCTCCAGTGCCCAGGTGTGCCTCTTGATAAACCTGGTAATGTAAGAAGGGGATGAAATTAAGTTTCAATCGTCTGTTTGGTCAGATCAAATAAGTAGGGTAAAAAAATCACACACACAAAAAAAGAGCCAATACTGCAATACTGTACAGTTTATGCTTCTGACTGCAACAAGAGCATCCCATAAGGACACCAGTTCAAGTTCTGGATACTCCATTTCCAATCCACCTCCCAGCTTATGTACCTAGGAAAGCAGCAGAGGATGACCCAAATATTTAGGCCCCTGCACTCACATAGGAGACCCAGATGAAGCTTCTGGCTCCAGCCTGGCTCAATGCTGGCTATGGCAGCCATCTGGGGAGCGAATGAGCAGATTCAGGAACTGTCTCTACCGCTCCAATTCTGCCTTTCAAATAACCTAAACACAAAGAAAAATGTCCACTAAATTAGAGTATTACTATTTTCTGTACTTTTCTGTGTGTTCAAACTACTTTATGTTTTTAAAAGAAAAAAATGATGGACAATGAAAAAAACAAATGTCACTCCCCAGAAAACATCTGGAGCTCCTTCAAGAGGCAGTCCACCTGCCCATTTGGACAAGAAAAGCTGAAGTAAGGAATAAGAACAAGACTAATTGGAGGTCTGTATAAAAACGAATTGATTTCCATCTCCAAACACAAGAGGGCAAGAATTCTTTCAATGAGCCCGGGTGAAATATTCTACCTTTTATAAATAAGTGAGACAACTATTTAAGGGAGAGCTAGCAGTCAACTTGGAAATCTGTAGGCCAGGCTGAAGCTCTCTTCCATCCAGCATTCAGTAAACTCCTCGTTACAGCAAACTTGACCAATTGATCTTTAGTGATGCCCACTCAAAACTGCTTCCCAACTTCCCAACATTCACATGTTCAACTGAGAATCAAAAGATCCCAGATGTGAAAAAACTTGGAACAACAAATGGAAGACTAAGAAAAGAAACACATTTATCACCACTGGACAGGCTTAACCAGAGACTGGAAGGGGCATGGATGAGTTAACAGGCCTACCTGTATCTTCGGATTCGCTAGCAAATATGCTAAGCATGAGCTAGACACTATGAACAACTGGGAGTTTATATAAGTTAAAATATACTTAATGTAACTTTAAAAAGCAGAAGACAAAATTAGAAAAGGGGAGCTCCCATTGTTTAGTAGGTTAAGCCACTGCCACAAGCACCAGCACCCCATTTCAGCGCCAGTTCGTGCCCTAGCTGCTCCACTGTTGACCCAGCTCCTTGCTAATACATATGGGAAGGCAGCAGCAAACAGCCAAATGCTTGGGATCCTACACCGACATGAGAGACACAGAAACTCCTGGCTACCAGCTTCAGCCTGCTCCCACCCTGGGCACTTCAGCCATCTGCGGAGTGAACCAGATGTAAGATCTCCCTGATGTCTCTCCCCACCCCCCTAACTGTGCCTTTCAAACTATTTTAAAGATTTAAGTTTTTACTTAAAAATTATAAAATGAAGTACATGAAAAAACTGAGCACCAACACAAAGATCCAACTAATAGGTGTTAAAGAAGCAAAAAAAAGGGAAGGAATAAAAGTAAAATATAAGATTTCCAAGGTTCAAAGAAATTTGTCAAAAGTGGACAGAATTTATCAGGTATAATTTTAGAATGTTTCATGTTAAGAATATATTGTGGGTACAGAGGTTTGTTATGTAAGGAACAAGAATCAGACTGAATCAGACTTTAATTTTTAAGCACTATCAGATGCCAGATTAAAATTGAGCCGCTTCCAAAGTTCTGATAGGAAATTATTTTCATTCCCAAATTCTCTATCTCTGCAAGCAGTTCATCTAATTTAAGTGCAAAGCAAAGCCACTTTGAACATGCAAGAGCTCAAATCTCAAGCATTCTTCCTTAGGAAAGATCTTCAACTCTAGAAAAATTAGAAAATTAACCAAGAAATGGGAAAGCATAAACCCAAAAAACATAAATTCCATCCAGGAAAAACAAGCAATCTGGCTCACAACAGCCAGGCCAGCCCCACTAACCAGGAACTCTAACCAGCTTCCCATCCTGGGCCATCTCCCACTGCCGCCCCAGGCACAGGGAGCTGGGCTGAACACAGAGCAGCTGTGACGGCAACTGGGATGCCAAGGAGCCTCCTGCACACAATGCCAGCCCCCAAAGTATTACCAAAAGACCAGTCATCAAGATTTGCTTAAGATGTGCCACGGGCATGCAGGCCTTGTAGCCAGGAGATTCATTTGCAAAACATTTTGGAAGCCAGATCTGGTAGCATCTGTCAATTAACCTACTGCCAAAAATGGCTTCTAAAGCTTACGTAGGACAGGGAAGAAGGGACAAGGGGATGTGTGAGGGAGAGCGCCTGCGCAGATTTCACGTTAGCCAACCGTGTGTTCCAGCCTCTCGTTTACTCACAAAACAGAAACACCTTCTTTGTGCCAATTATGTCCTTCGGTCTGGACATCCAGCTGACCTTTTATTCTAATGCGTCTAATTTATTTCTATTTTCCATACCATTCACTCAAGTTAGAAGTTAATTTTTTTATGCAGTACGTTTTTTTAAAGATTTATTTTTATTATTTTTTATTGGAAAGGCAGATATACAGAGAGGAGAGACAGAGAGGAAGATCTTATATCCAATGATTCACTCCCCAAGTGAGCGCAACGGCCGATGCTATGCCGATCCGAAGCCAGGAGCCTCTTCCGGGTCTCCCACGCGGGTGCAGGGTCCCAAAGCTTTGGGCTGTCCTCTGCTACTTTCCCGGGCCACAGGCAGGGAGCTGGAAGGGAAGCGGGGCTGCCGGGATTAGAACCGGCGCCCATATGGGATCCCGGGCGTGCTAGGCGAGGACCTTAACCACTTGCGCCACCGCACCGGGTATGCAGTACGTTTTATTTTGGTTTTTTTTTTTTTGTTTTTTTTGATTTTGCAGTACGTTTTAAATAAAGATTTATACACAAAAATCATCTTCTCAACAGGTTGTTGCTACGGTAAGACTCCACAAGAAAGGCTCAGTATATTGTCCAATCCACAGTAAATAGTCAGTTCCTATCATTTTGCACCTATAAACATTTGCCATTTTGCATTACTGTTTAAAATAATAAAAGATGCAGAGAAGTACTGTATTAGCCTATTTACATTTTTTAATGACATTTACATTTGGATTTGCGCAATACGTTTATACCTGAGAAGCACTGTGGAAAACCTGCCTCAGTATTGCATCTGTGGAACAGGTGGGGAGGCAGCTGTTTCTGCATGCAGTTTCTATTGTGAGCAACACCACAGGATTTAATCAGGAGACAAGGGAAAAAGGAAAGACCACTATCAATGCCTCAAGAGAAAAGAAGGTAATCTTTATAAGCATACACAAATATTATAGTAAAAACTTTTATTTTCATATACTGTACATATTTAAACTTTAACAAGTTATTGGGTAGTCACGTTTTCCTCTGTCCGTTTAGACTGATCTTCAGTTACCTGCAAAAACATAAAGAGCTTTACTTTTCTAACATTTTTAGTGGCACCCCTCGCCCACCATTCTAAATCCTTCCAGTCCTTGTCAGAATGACACTCCATCTCTTCCCATCAACAGTAATAATTATAAAAATCAAGTAAAGATGACAGATTTAAAGGATGAGTTATTAGTGTAAGTCATCAAGTAAACTATAACAATCCTACTCAAAACCATCATCTGCCTCATACCTAGACTTCTATACAACAAAATCAAGGGGAAAATACCAAAGTGCTGAAAGTTACTTTAAATCCTCTTATTTTATTGTGAAGCATAGAATCTATTTAGAATGAAGCACACTAAAAGTTGCATACAAACAGGTGTCTGTATGTCCAAGAGTCAGTAAATGGCGAGAGCTACACCTGAGTTCCAGACTCCCTCTGAGCACGCCAGTCTCCCACGCCAGCACCTTGAAGGGTTCTTTGCAGCTGCCTAAACCCAGCGACTAACAATCTACACCTCTTGTCCCTGCATATTCCATTCAGAGTCCTATTCGTTCAACCCAAGGAATTCTCCTGGGTTGATTCTCCCTACTACGGATTAACACGAGGAGTTCCTATCCTTTGCCATCTAATATTCTTGACTGGAGTTCCAGCTATCGTCATGCTGCCCAGAATAAGCTTTAAACAGAAACAACCGATCACTTCTCTACTCAGAAACTCACTATCTCTCCATTTCCTATAAGAGAGGGTGAGGAAGCTGGAATTCAGGTATCACAGCATAGAAACTAAGCCCCTCATCTTTTTCCAACCAACTTCTTTGGAATGACTCATCAGCCATGTTACATGCAACTTTTAAGCTCAAATTCATCCTGGGTTCACCATGATCTCCACGCTTCTGTGTCCTCTCACACATCTCCAGAAAATCAACCTGATCCACTTCCATTAATCCTTTAAAATCAGATTAAGAGTCGCCAATTCTTGAATATTTTCTCCTTTCTTTATTTTTTTTAAAAAGCAAGATTTATCTATTTTTATTGGAAAGGCAGATTTACAGAGAGAAGGAGAGATACAAAGATCTTTCACCCACTGGTTCACTCCCTAAGTGGTCACATTGGCTAGAGCTGAGCCAATCCAAAGCCAGGAACTTTCTCCAGGTCTCTCACATGGGTGCAGGGGCCCAAGGCTTCGGGCCATCCTTCACTGCTTTCCCAGGCCACAAGCAGGGAACTGGATGGGAAGTGGGGCTGCCGGCACACAAACTGGCACCCATATGGGATGTCGGCAGTTGGAGGTGGAAGATGAGCCAGCTGAACCATCATGTTGGCCCATCTTTTCTCTCTCTCTTTTTAAGACTTATTTACTTATTTGAGAAAGTTAAGAGACAGAGAGAGAACTCGTCTATTCACTGGCTCACTCCCCAGTTGGCTACAATGATCCGTATTGGGTCAAACCTGAGCCTGGAGCCTGGAGCTTCATGCAGGTCTCCCATGTAAGCATCAGTAGTCCAAACACCCGGGTCATCTGCTGCTGCTTTTCCCAGGCCATTAGCAGGGAAGTAGACTGAAGTAGAGCAGCCAGGGTTCAGACCAACACTCACCTGGGACGCTGCTGTCACAGGCGACAGCTTTTACCTATTATGCCACAACGTCTGTGTCCTGGATGGCTCTCTTAACTAACTTTTCCAGCTTGGGTTGGGTCCTTGCCTTACCTCATACCAGAGCCACATATGTAAACCTGGCCAGTCCGCCTAGAACTATAGTGATCCCATTAACTTCTTTGAGGCAGCAGGTACATTTGGCTGTTTTGTACCTTCAGAACATAATAGTGCCTGGTACATAACAAAAACTCTCTTAATAATTATAGCTCAATCACTAGGCCTTGTATTCATTCTGGATAAAGAAAATGACCAGAAGAAAGCAACTACACCAGGAAAGTGTTTCGAAAAAGCTGTTGATTGACTTTACTCAATACTCTATAAACAGGTTATTATCGCTACCACTGTCGTGCATTTGTCTTCAAGAGTTCAGTTACTATTGCTTTGGAGCAACCCAACCCATTTCCTCATCATTTCTTTGTTTCTTATCTAACAATGGTCATTATGACCAACCAAAAAGACAAAGTTATTCCACTCATTCAATTATACTTTTCTCCTAAGGAAAAAAAAATCACATAAACTTTACATAAAGAATATTTACTAAATCCCTAAGAAATATTCTGCCTATAAATGTACCAACAAATACTTCTCTTAAACTTATAATTTTAGGGGTTGGCACCCTGGCAAATCAAACTAGGCCTCTGTCTGCAGCACTGCCTCCCACAGGGGCTCCAGTTTGAGTGTCAGCTGCTCCCTGCTTATGGTCTGCGAAACAAGCGGAGAATGGCCCAGGTGCTTGGGCCCCGCCCACACAGGAGACCCAGAAGCTCCTGGCTCCTTGCTACGGTCCGGCCCAGCTCTGGCCACTGCAGCTCCTTGGGGAGTGAATCAGTGAATGGGAACTCGTTTGCTCTAACTATGCCTTTCAAATCAAAGACATATATAATTTTTTAAAACTATCAATAAACATTTCTTGGGAATTCCCCCCCTCCTCTCATGATAGTATACTGTTTTAAATCTGGGCTTATACAAATACAGGAAACTCAGAATGGGGTCACCTACTGCAAACAAACATCCCAGCAAAGGAAACAAACACCCAGAGGATGAGGAGGCACAGAGTACTGCACAAAGGCCACTGCTTACAAGCTCTGCTTCACTTTCATCTCTTCCCTTTGGCTGCCCAACACCCCCCTTTGCTTGTCACTGCTTAATTTCAAAGAAAATTTCTTCAAAAACTACTTGTTAGCTGTCAAAAAGACTTACCAATTTCCGAGATCTTTCCAATAACTTATCCCATATTGTAAACTGTGCCTTAAAAAAAAAAGATTTGCCAAGAGTTAAAACAATAAGAATGTAAAAAGCTCTTTCTATAACTTTAAAGCAAATAAAAACACAAAAAACTAATTAACTAAAACCAACACAGTATCAACATGGCTAAGTAATTACAAAAGTAAAGAGAGCGGAAGGGGTTGGGGAAATGACATTTTTTGAACTTTTAAGAAAAAATGACTTCACCCAATCTTGCATCTTGCTCGCTGTCCCTCTTAATCATTTCCATCATAGAAAGCATTTTTTTAAAGCTTTATTTATTACAAAGTCAGATATACAGAGAGGAGGAGGAGAGACAGAGAGGAAGATCTTCTATCCACGGATTCACTCCCCAAGTGGCCGCAATGGCCAGAGCTGAACCGATCCGAAACCAGGAGCCAGGAGCTTCTTCTGGGTCTCTCATACAGGTGCTGGGTCCCAAATCTGGGCCGTCCTCGACTGCTTTCCCAGGCCACTAGCAGGGAGATGGATGGGAAGTAGGGCCACCAGGATTAGAACCGGCGACCATGTGGGATCCTGGCGCCTTCAAGGCAAGGGCTTTAGAGGCTAGGCCACAGCACCAGGCCCCCAAAGCATTCTTCTATTGGTGAGTAAAAATCCATTCATTTTCTCATAGATTTTGATTAAATTATTTCCTAAATTATTTAGGCCGATTTCAACAACCTAGAGGTTACTCTTCAAATCTTAAGCAGACACAAGAGATTGATTAGGAACCATGATGTCATCACAGTGAAATGGCAGACCCAGAGGATTCAGCACATTGTCCTAAAAAACAACTAGAAACTAACGACAATAATAATAAATGTACAGGACTAATGTCCTCAATAATAATATAGAATAGAGTATTATCAAATGCATTATTGAAGAACGTACAAAATTACATTAGGATTCTAAAAATTATTTTTATTTCCATAGGTTCATATTTATGAGGTTCATTCATGCCTACCTTAAAGATCAATTTAGAGTAATCAGCACATCTGCCCCCTTAAACTGTCATCATTTCTTTATGGGGACAGGAATGAGATGAGAAATGCCTGTGGCTCCACATCCTGTCTCTTCGATGGAAAAAATAAGTGGAAGACCGAAACAGAGCTTTCTCAAGAGGTCTATTTCTCAAACGGCCAACAAATGGGGGAAAAAATGCTCAGCATCGCTGATTTCAGGGAAATGTACACTACATCAGTTTCATTACTTCAACTGAAGGTAATACCAAAAATATATTGTAGGCCAGTGGTGATTCCACACTTAATGAAGCCAGAAAATTTATAATAAAAAAAATAATAAAACTACTAAATATATATAGGCAATCCTTCTAACAAAAGAGCAGCATGGTCAGGTCCGGCGCTGTGGCCTAGCAGCTAAAGTCCTGGCCTTGAATTCCCTGGGATCCCATATGGACACCGGTTCTAATCCCGGCAGCTCCACTTCCCATCCAGCTCCCTGCTTGTGGCCTGGGGAGGCAGGCGAGGACCCTGCACCCACGTGGGAGACCTGGAGGAAGTTCCTGGCTCCTGGCTCTGGATCAGCACAGCATCAGCCGTTGCACTCATTTGGGGAGTCAATCTTCGGACAGAAGATCTTCTTCTCCACCTCTCCTCCTCTCTGTATATCTGACTCTGTAATAAAAATAAATAAATCTTAAAAAAAAAAAAAGAGCAGCATGGTCTATTTAGAGGGAAAACTGCATGGCTCAAGCAGAACCAACTAGTACAAAGGTCGTAAGCTACGGCTAGTGACAGTGGTGTGAAATAGACAGTGGCCAGGTAAAGCAGGGCTTCATGGGACAGGATGAAGGATGAATTTGTGAATTTTTAATGAAATTTAATTTTCATTAAATGAATTTTTAATTATAAAATTAATCTGCATCTTGAAAATATTATTCTGGCATGAGAGCCAAGGCTGTGGGTGAGCTAGGCAGGTGGCCTACAGGGCCTCCCCAGGTCAGAAAGGCAGCTGCACCCACTAACTGGGTTGGAATGGGGGTCTACCAATACCTTTTGATACTGACAAGCCGCCCATCTTCTAATTCCGTGTGGGCCTCGGATGGTTGTGTGGTCTGGTCACACAACTCAGAATACATGTTGCATGATCAAACCAGCTTCATTGCTGATTGCTGTGCAAAGAGGCCAACAACATCTCAGAGCAATGATGAAGACAAGAGGGACACTGGCACTGAATGGAAGCTCTCCAGCTCATAGGAAGGAGCCATTAGATGAGATAAAGAGTTCCAAACCCAGGACCCCAAGCTCTACAACCCTATCAGCAGGAAATAACTACAGAGCATGTGATGAGTCTACACGCTCTGACAGGGGAACGACATGACACAGGTACACAACTAGCTCAATGTCATGGGGTAAAAGCCATCCTGCCGCTTGTAAATTCCACCCACCCATCTGTCAATCAAATGACCCCCCCCCAGGATGTACTTCCCCTCACTGGGCCCTGGAGAAGTATCAAGAAACTACTCTGGGGCCCGGCGGTGTGGCCTAGTAGCTAAAGTCCTCTCCCTGAATGTGCCGGGATCCCATATGGATGCCGGTTCTAATCCCAGCAGCTCCACTTCCCATCCAGCTCCCTGCTTGGGGCCTGGGAAAGCAGTCCAGGATGGCCCAAGGCCTTGGCACCCTGTAGCGGCATAGGAGACCTGTAAGAAGCTCCTGGTTTTGTATCAGCACAGGACTGGCCAATGTGGTCACTTGTGGAGTGAATCATCAGAGTGAAAATCTTCCTCTCTGTGTATAGCTGACTTTGTAATAAAAATAAATAAATCTTAAAAAAAAAAATGATCTGCTTGCCTGCATCACTGGCAGCCTGGTAATGTGGAGAGGCAATATCCCTCTTTTTGTGAACACAAAACACAAGGCAGAAAGATTTCCCTCCGTCTAACTTTCCCTTCCCGAGTCATCACAATCCCAAAAATGCCTCACGAGTATCTGATCTCAACTTTTAAAAATAAAAAATAAATTGGGCCGGGCAGTGTGGCCTGGCAGCTAAAGTCCTCGCCTTGAACATGCCGGGATCCCATATGGGCACCAGTTCTAGTCCCGGCAGCTCCACTTCCCATCCAGCTCCCTGCCTGTGGCCCGGGAAAGCAGTCGAGGATGGCCCATAGCTTTGGGACCCTGCACCCGTGTGGGAGACCCAGAAGAAGTTCCTGGATCCTGGCTTCAGATCTGCATAGCATTGGCCGTTGCACTCACTTGGGGAGTGAATCATTGGATGGAAGATCTTCCTCTCTGTCTCTCCTCCTCTCTGTATATCTGACTTTGTAATAAAAATAAATAAATCTTAAAAAAAAAAAAATAATTAAATAAAAAATGAATAACAAGTTTTAATGTGAAAAATATATATTACTCTGATCTCTAAGTAGAGAATTCCGTAGAAACCAAGGAGGGTGAAAAGAAGGAGAATCTCGGGTAATGAAAGTAGGTGGATGGGGTGCTGGGCGTTGGATGGACTCAGAATATGTTTAGAGTTAGAAGTTCAAAGCACTCAGAGAAGCAAGAACTACCTCAAACTGTTAGGTAGCCGATGATGCCACATAAATGGAGAAGGCTAAGAAATAAGGCAGGCATGTGGAGTAAAACCAAACACCTAAAGGTCCTGGGTACTAAGAACTACAAAACATTTATTAAAGGAATGAAAGGTCTCAATAAACGAAAAGATACACTAAGTTCATATTCTGGATGATTCAATGTATTAAAGATGCTACACAGGTGGGCAGTTTATTAATGAAATTAATTGAACTGAATTAATTACTTTGATGAAATTCCTACCAAATACCAAAATTGGATTAGCACAAAAAAGATTATCCTAAAATTAGAGAAGTGCTAGGGTCCGTGCAGTGGGTATGGATGGCATGAAGGTGTGAAGAGAACAGCTCCCTGCTTGGCAGGGCCCAGGGAGCTTCCAGCTGTTTCTCTCTCTGTTTCTCTCTGACCACCTTGACACACTCACCCCCTTTTTGCACAGAACACTCAAGCACCCCACTAAGAATTATGTACTCTATTAAGGCATTGCTGTTTTCCCCTGTGAGATGGCTTTCGCAACCAACGTGAGCTTGAGAGTTAACGTTATTGACAATGTCTTGGTGAGTGGGCCTTTAACTGCACACAGGAGAACAAGTAAGCCCATGCTGTTCTGGACACCTTATTGTGTGCTTACCCACTGCCCTGGAATCTGGCCCTGCCACATAGCATGCCTTCTGGGAAAGGGCTTGATAAGAATTTTACAAACTAACGGAGGTACTGGGAGTATGAACAGAAACTGCTATGGCAAAAAATATAGTTACTGTGACCTTAAAAGTTAGCCTGTCATTTGCAACTCTTTAGAGAATAGAAAATGTAGTTGTTTTAGCTGCTTTCATAATTTTTTAACTAGAGGAAATATAGGGAAATTTTATTAACAACACAGAGATATGCTTTGGATTATTGTTTATGAGGCTGCAGAGCCTGCAGTTGTAGGGAGATTTAATGTCTGAAACTTTTTGTCTTGGATCTTTGTTTTTTCTCTTTTGATGTATTTCTCCCATTAAATGACAGATACGTTGTGAAAATAAAATGTAGTAGGAATGTTTTACTAATTAGCAGGCCTTGGAGTCCTGGAGTTCTGGCTGTTGCCTGATGGCTGCTACTAAAGAATGAATAACGGCTTGCTTCAAAGAAAATGATCATGGTAACTTACAGAATTATTTTTCAGAGTACCTGCTTGACCATGAAGTAAAACATAATCAAACATCTGTGCATACCCACTTAGTCATGAAGTAAAAATAGATCAATCAAGCGATCGTGCAGAGGCTTGTGATGTGCCTGACTAAATAAAAAGGACAGCTGCTTCCCGAGCAGTTACAGGAGGGCACCAAGTGACAGTGTTCGAGTCTTATCACCCTTCTTGAGCTCCGAACTCAACTGGAGCTCGCCTCCGGCAGACAAGCCAATAAAATGGAAAAGCTAAAATAATTCTGAAAAGAAACCATAACACGA